GTAAGTGGGCGGACAAGGAGTCGGATGATAAAGGCGGTTCTCATAAAGTTCCAGAAGGTCCTAGGCTTCCTCCTGAGAACAGTATTGAAGAAATGGATAAATTTTTGAATAAAGTGAAAGCACAGAAGAAAGAGGAAATGAAGGAGAGGAATAAGTCATTTATGAAATCACATGCTTGGTAGACATCAGTGTAACTACAGCGTCATCAAACGTTAAGTTAATCATTGTATTGCTCTTTGTATGTTTGGTCTTGATTCTAAATGTATTCTGGTGATTGCACTTTATGTTTAATAACAGTTTGTGGCTTATGCTGTAGTGGTCATTGATGTATATAAAATATTTCTTAATCTGCTATTTGACTTAAGTAGTTTGCGTTTACCTTGATTGTGAAGCAGCAGGTGACGTCGCCGTTTGTTTAGCTTGATCGTGTCGCCCGTTGAAGTGATGGGTGATGTCATCATGTATATTCTGACTTCTTGTGATAAATTTGCTTTCCTGTGTAATTGATTGTAATCCCATCTTTTACAGACACTGTTTTCATGATTATTTTATCACAAAAGTAATTATAAAAGACAAAATAAAGTATTTTGTAAAATTCCTTTGTGTTGTTTGGTGTTGAGCGCTGTTGTAGAGCATTGAAAATGTTCTATTACCAGAGGAAGATATCCATATTATTGCAGTAAAGGTATAAATGTACGGCATAGAATCGTGGGTAACATAAAAGGACACTATGCGAACTCACCATTTGAAACGGAATTTTTAAGTACAGGGATAGATTTAGGCGTACTGTGTCCCTAAGCTGTCATCATCAATCGACCCATTTGTGTCCGCTGATGGACATGGGTCTCCCGTAGCCTTCTCCGCGACCTGTATGCTGGAAGTTCGTTTACCGTGGAAAGTCATAGGACTTTGAGAAAACTTGTCCCTTTGCCACAGCAAATCCCATGTGGCCTGCCTTGAGTGTGAGCCTGGGCCTTCACAGTGACTAACCAACTGAGCTTTGGCATGACCTAAGAAAGAACCATAAAATCACCAGTCGTATTTGTGAGCACGCTCTGTTTCAGACGGCATAGAAATTCTTTTGTTCCATGGAGAGGTGCTGTATACTTTAGATATTTTAGGTTGTTTGACCTGTTTAGAAAATTGTTTTGATTTTCTAATGTTGGCACAACCTAGTATCATTCTTTTGTGTTTGACAAACTGTCTACAAGTTTCTATAATTCATGATGGTTTTGGTTATGTCTGGGTATCAACAAAAGTGTGCTTAAGTCTGCGGACTTGGGGTGTTTTGACTGCAAGATGTAGAAATTATTTTGCTGGCTTAATAGTCGTGCTCGTAATTAAAGTGGTGATATACTTTGAAACAAAAGTGAGATGTAAGAAATAGCCTCTTATCCGATACGTTCCAAAGGTTCTACAATGATAATATTGGTGATGGCAAATGAGTGATAAAGTATGTGGATATTCCTTCCAATTTTGAATCGTGTGAAGGCAGTTTTGATTTGATTGGCAGTGAACTGTCATTCTTCTGTGAAGCTACAGTGGACCAAAATGTGCCTGGTAAGTATATTTCAAAGTGCTTAGAAGGTGTGAAGAGATATTCTTAGATGCTA